TGGCTCGGGGAGATCACCTCCGAGCCCGCCTGGGGGGCGCTCCGGGCCGACGTCCCGCGGCTGCCGCCCTTGGCCTTTCTCCGCGGGCGGGCGCTGGCCTCTTCGGAGTCCTCTGCCGGGCCGTCGGCGTCGACGTGGACTGTTGGATTTCGCGCGTGTTTGTCGTCCCTCGCAGCAGTTTTTTGGCTTCCCAGCTTTCAGGCGTGCATCCTTCGAGCCTTTTCAGCTTTCCAGCGCTTGCTAGGATTTTACCTTTACACCCTTCAGGTTCCCAGCTCTCCAGCTTTCCAGCTGCCCAGCTCTCCGCATTTCAGCTCTGATGCTTTGCAGTTTTCGCCTCTGGCGGCGTCCTCCTCGTCCTCGTCGTCGTTAGCGCTCGCACGTGCCCGCTGTCCCTCCCAGGAGGAGGGGGAGCAAGGCAGAGAAATCGATATCGATACCACCATCCGTCCCTCGTCGCAACGGTTGGATTCGCTTCGAAATCCTGATCAGAGCGAGCCCAAGGTTATGTTGCTCCCATCGCACTTAAGGACCACATCCCAGAAATAATGTCGAGCACCAGGAAAAGTGTCGAAAGAGCACAATGTTGAAACAGTGTCGGACGAGTGTCTCCCAGGGCTCGACACGTGACAACTTTTGAGTTTCGGTATTTTTTCCTGGTGCTCGAAATCTGGTGGTCAAGGATAAGAAGTAGGTTGGAACATCATAAGTTCAGAGAGAGGTCCTGGGAGTAGGCACCCCTCCCGTCAATTCCGACTGCCACCCGCTCCCGCGTTCCGCTCGCGTTGCCGCCTTTCTTCGGCGTTGCCGCCCGTAGTGACCATCTCTCCGTCGCGGGTGGCCCGTCTTTCCCGGCCCCCAGCCCGGCCAGTTTGTTTGCGGTTGTTTTCTCTTCTTCTTGGTATTACTACAATGATTTCATTATCAGTCGGAGTTTGGAGGGTTAGATCGCAGCGGAACGGATACCTCCAACCGGGGAATCGTTTTGTTTCGTTCGTGTCGTGCGTGCGGGCGAGGCGAAGCTGCGTGGGCGCGCGAGAGGAATGAACCAGCCGTTGCTAGGGCGAAATCAAGACAAATGATTCATTGGCTTACGCCGCACCCCCGACCCCTTGGGTCGGCAGCAAGAGTGAAAGACGGAGTTCGCGGAACGCGCGCGATCGCTGGGCAATCTTGGGGATCCTGCCTGTCTTACGTAGCGTGTGGGGTTCAATGGGGGGGCATTGTAGGGGATTGTATTTGAATTTTTTCGTGGTTTTATGTGGGTTTCTTGGGGCCTTCGCGGGGCCTGTCCCAGGCCTCCTCTTCGACCCCCTGGATAGGCTCGGGGATCGTTGAGACCCAACTGGGGGTGCGTCCGGCCAGACGTTCGAGAGTGGACCCAGCTGTGTCGACGAGGAGCTTCCTGAAGACCCAGAGTTGGCGGATAGCGCCCAAGAACTAGGAGTCGAGCCTCGATCCACCCCGTGTTTCTTCCTGTGCGAAGGGGAGGCACCTGCCAGGGAGGTCGATCCTCACCCCAGACCCTCGGTGGTGGTCCCGGGCACCGAAAACGGTTCCTGGAGGCTGAATTCGAGGAGATGCTTCAGGTGGTCGAAAGACCAAGAAAATCAGTGAGACATCGGCGGCGAAGACGAAATCTTATTTTTTGCTCCCCTCTTCCTCCTCTTCCTCCTCCTCGTGCTTCTCTTCTTCTTCTTCTCGATCGAGGTAGATGCCCGCAGTAGTTCCGACCGCCTTTCCAGATTTTTGTTTGAGCAGCTTTTGTTTTTGGTAGGTTTCGGTCTCCAGGGGCCGTTGCTGGGCCCCAGGACTTTCGAAGCCAGGCGGACCTGGGGCGAGAAACTGCATCAGCGGACCCGGGGAGAGGTTCGGGGAACGAATTTGTGCGAAGTGACCCGTCGGATTCGGGAGGTTTGTTGTGGTTGGGGGGGTTCCGGGCCCTTCCCCTGTCGCCGCGGCTGGATGCACTTGGGAAAACGATTGCGATTGGATTCCGGGAAGGGTCCGGGGGGCCCGTGGTGAACGATTTCAGCGTGGGGAAAAGACACGAATTTTGCTGCAGAGTCCTAATATTTTTAATGTTTTGTGATTTTAGTCGTCGAAGGGCCGCCTCCAGGTCCCGTGGTCATTCGGGGGCACAGTGGATCCCCGTCAGGGCCTGTTGGGTACGCTCAGGCGGCCTTTCATGTTTTTTCCGGGGCGAAGTGCTCGAATTCTCCATTCGGGTTTCCCTTCCCACCCTCCTCTTGGGGCCGTCCTGGGGCTCTCCCTGGTGGCTTCGGGGGCCTTGTTGGGGCCAGTTTGTGCCGTGTGGGAGCGTTCTTGGGGGCATGCGGGGGCTTTTTGGACGATTTGGATGTTTTTTTTGGCTGCTGTGGGACTCGTGAAAGCTCAAGAAGCCAATGTGTTGAACTTCGACGTTTCCCTTCGGGACGGGGCCGAGGTTTGGTTATGCCGGGCCTCGTGGGACGCGTCGTGGTGGCGTGTTGGGGCGTCT